CAGCCACTTGTAGTTCCCACATGCCATTGGGGCTATATCAGAAACTTGCTGTGGTGATACAACACACTGGACATTGATGCAAATTTTCTGACAATGGTGAATCAATCTATGCTTAGGTAGGAGTCTCATGTTTAGGGCAAGCAGAATCCCCCAGCTCCATGCTTGGGGGACTGGGTCACATTTATGATAGACAGAGTTGCAGAACACAAAAGCATTGAGTAGATGCTAACAGCCAGGAACTCAAAAGAAAGAAGGTAAGACTAAAATAGAGAGATTGAGGCTCAAGAGAGACAAGACAAGCTAGAGGCTTGGAAAGATGCTAAAGGGCTATTTTTTATTTAGTTTTTATTTTTTATTTTATTTTATTTCTTCCAGAGTCCGAGACTTGTACTTGGATGTGACTGATGCCATATGAGAATTGACTGCTTAGGGCACATGTGCTGTGCCCTACATAAGCGTGTGCAACACAAAAGGATGCTGATGAATATACTTATTAAATTCATCTGAGGACCATTGCCCTGCTGCACAAATGAGATCCAGAGCCATACCTGCTGTGGCTAGAGCTGTAGCTCCACCCACTTGCATGGAATGTCCCAAGAATTGCGCTCCACAGAAATGGTGTAGTTGGTGAAAGAACCAGGCATGGGTAGGCACATTTCCTGTGCTTGTAACCCAAAGAGCTGGATGGTGTAGGAAGGAGGCATCACAAGCACTAAGATACCATTTCATATACTTTAGTGGGTCATATGGTGATTCCCGTTCTTCAATGAGCAGGATTATGAAACTTGTTCCCAGACTATTATTCTTCTGATGGGGAAGGATATAAGATACTGATGTAGACATCCAAGTTAGAGTGTGATGCAGTGACAACTTGCAGTAACTTTGAAGCTTTGATGAGTCTGGCCAAACAAGCTCTCCTAGGCATTGCAGGCTTTTGAAGCCAGTTATTAGTATTGTGAGGAATAAGCAGTCATCATATGATGCCTGATCACCCATGACATTTGCCATGTGTGCTAGATCTGTTAAGAACCATGTTGCTCAAAGGAGAGAGAGACTGACTCAGAGGGGCTTGGCCTCAGCTTGTACACTGTGCCCCTTACCTGAGTATGTGCCCTTCATTTTGTATGAGGTCTGATGATGGTCCAATGAAGTCTGGAGGACTTCTGGAGGCTGGCTACTCTGCTGGAGAGTGCTAGAGGACTTCCAGAGGAGCGCAGGAAATGTCCGGAGGAGCATGGGAGAGTTCCAGAGGAACACAGGAAGTGCTCTGGAGAGTTCCCACTGCAAGGTAATACTTCTACAGGAAACAGGATGGAGGGATAGGAGGTCCAAAGGTCCAAAGGTCCAGAGGACAGGAGGACAGGAGGACAGGAGGGCAGGATGATGGAGGACAGAGGGACAGGATGTCCGGAGGTATGAAGGACAGGATGTCCGAAGGTACAGAGAGCGGAACGTCTGAAGGACAGGATGCCTGGAGGTATGAGGGACAGGAGGTCCGGAGGTCTGGAAGGAATAGGGGCTACATCGGATGAAGTCCGATGTAGAAACAAACAGAGGTAGACTACCCTAAGATAGAGTTGGAGAGACAAGGGTTGGACCTAAGTCCAGAAAGAGGGTAAGTGCTGGAAAGGCGGAGCTCTGGCCTAGGGAGTCAATCCCTAGGCCTGATGGGTAGGACAGACTTAGGAGGACCAAAGTCCAAGAGAGGATTGGGCAAGTCTAAGTTGATATTCAAACTGAGGAACTACAGGAGTATCTACAGGGGTTATATACTGAACAATATCTGAGGGGATCAGTAAGCAAAGGAGCAAGGCTATGTACGAGCATGTGGAAACACATTAGTAAGTAAGTCGGAACATAAGTAAATGAACTCGGAGATGAGGACTCATACAAGGATCAATAAGCAAGACAGAACAAGAGGTAACTGAAAGCCAGAAGGCAGAGAATGCCTAAATGGGGATAGGCGCAGGATATCAGACAGAGGGTGGAAATAGGTCTGGAGTTAATATCCGGAGGTCTGGAGATCTGGGGATCCAGAAGACAAGGTGGATACAGGACTAAAATATGAGAAGGTGGATATAGTCTGGAATCCGAGACAAGGTGAAGTCTGGATGTCTTGCTGGATGGAGTGCACATAGGGTGGGCAGGATAGGGTTGTATGGATCAGGCTAGCAGCAAGGATCCGGAGGTCTGGAGCTCAGGGGTAAATCAGGAGTGTAGTCGATCCTGCTGAGGTATGGAGCACAGTGGAAGGGGATCTGGGAATGAGCTGGATATGAAGTGGGGTCCAGATGTAGGCTCGGAAGGCGTGGGAATATGATGGAATGTGGGTCTGGATTGTGGGATATGACAAGATCCTTGAGACTAATAGGCAGTTTATGCTGAATTGGTCTTGAAAACTGTCATTTGCATCCCTGCAAAGTCCAAGTCACCAGTGGTGAGCATCGGGCAGCATGTACATCAGGATATATAGTTTCCAAGCAATTTGCAATGCCAGAGAGATAATTGTTGACTGATTGGGGCTCAATGTGATGTGAGAGCCAAACAACATAATATGACAATGTGTCAGGTGTTGGGTCAATGATATGATGGTGGAGCTGGCAGAATGTGATGTAAGAGTTCAGATGAGAGTCATAAGCAGCTGAAGTTGATGATTCAATTGCACTCCCAAGTGTAATTGAGTGCTCATAAAAGAGACGCACATTTGTCCAGGCTTCCTGTATGGGTTGCCTGGACGATGTAAACACTGTCATCATTTTTTGGCCACCCCCAGCACATTCCAAGGGGGTTCAAAGTTGTAGATTTGCACTTCTGGTGCAAATTGCAGAACTTGCTCATTCTGGAAGCACAATAAGGCATCAGCCACACCATTGGCACTCCTGCTCATATGTTCCACATGCAGATCAATGCTATGCTGAATAAGGATGTTGATTGCAGAGATCAGGATGGGGTTATAAGGAGGATGTGCTCGCAATGTATTAAACATGGAGACTGTATTCATGTTATTGGGGTAGATGAGCATTTGTGGGGGGACCTCAGGCATATTCTGAATCACATGTATTGCTGAGCAGACCACCAAAGCTTCCATGAAAAAGATGGTGTCATGTGGCGCACCCTCTGGCAAGGGACTTTGGCAGGCAAAATTTTTGTTGGGGAACCAAAGACCTAAGCCAACCCTTGAAGCATCTGTGTAGGCTACCACCACATCCTCAGACTGTGGGTTTAAATCCAAGAATTTATAAAAGAGAAGACCACATGAATGTCTGATATGCTCCATCATCCACAGAACTTCATGAATGATGGTGTTATTGATGTGTAGCTGAGCATATGGATCTGTTTTTCTGCATATCTTCCCATAGATGACCAATAGTCCTGGTTTCAGAAGAGGAAACACATTAAAACTCCATTCACACCACCTGGCAAGTTGTTGAAACTCTTGTAATGACCACCTGTATCCTTTCCCATAGAATTGCTGCAAGTGTAGCACCAGTGCCTCCTCCTTGTGCTCTGGCAGCATGGCTGACATTGCGTTAGGATTGATGTCAAACCCGATTACAGTCAGAGTTGAGCCAAACAATTGCTTGGGTCACTCATGAGGCAGGCCAATCTCATACCATAATTCAAGCAATCATGTCTGCTTTGCAGGAAAGGAGCATTGGTAAGGTGGGTAATAAAGCTGCTGAGATGCAAGCTTGAAAGAAAAGGAGTCATCCATATACATCTTCAGCACTTCAATCAGGATCTGATGTATTGCAATCCAAGTGACCAAGGACATAAAGAAGATCCATACTTTTGGTGAGCCTCATCCCCCGAAATTGTTATTGCAATCCACATGCCGTTCCCCATTTACTGTCAAGATCTGTTTTACTTGCCAAAGGGGGTGCATAGACAGTCTCTGGAAAGCTTGTGAGATGTCAGATTTGAACATGATAAGCTCTTCCTTTGGATTGTTTTCATGGAATTGAAGAAGTGAGGCACCAAGTGAATGAAGACCATCCAGTTTTGTGCCTTTGATGGAGTCTGAATCTATCATTGAGTTCAAAGAGTAATTGCCAGCTGTATGGTTGACTACCAGTTGTAATTTATCAGAGTTCAGTTTTGGGACTGTGTGCATTGGCACACTGTACATGCCAGGCAGTAAGTCATGGCCAAAACTTTCAGAGACGTGTCCTAAATGAATCACCTCCTGTAATTGAGCCTCAATGAAGAGTAGCTGGTCATCAGTCTTTTGACAAGTGCACATTGAATTGTTGTTAGTTGAAGGGTACATTTTGTCCAGTACCTCTGCCCAAGGCCAAAATCCTTGACATAAGGCTTGACAAACTGAAATAACAAACAGTTGATTAAGATGTTCACTTAGCAAAGCTTGGAACCAGTCAACATTGATAGGACAGATTATTTTGAATAGATCAGGTCTGAGCAATACAGTCTGAGCTGCATCACTGTTGGCTAATGTGCCTGGTGCTTCTGGCACTGGATCAGCATATTCAGTTGACTGAGCAGTTGGGCTGAAGCTGGCATCCAATGGCAACCAGATTAGTCCTTGCTGATGACAAGGACATTTCAAAGTCCTCTCAGCCTCATTTGGGCTTTGAGTCTTCGATATGCTTCATTTTAACATGTTCACATCTGCAGATGTAGCCATCTTGCTCAAAAGAGCAGACATGTGCATATCAACAAGAGGCTGCACTACAAGTGCACTCTCCTGTATTCCACTTTCAACAGGGATCACATTTGTTGGATGCAGATGACCCTCCAGCATGTGATCCTCCTGCATTGGACTTTGAATCTGTGGTGTCATTGCATTGTTTTCCATCTGAGTTGAAATGCAAGAAGATAAGGTCCTTGAACTCCCTGAAATTGGTGAGTTCAAGTCTTCATGAAGATCCAACCCTGTTTCTAATGGCTTTATCGAAACAGATAATCCTTCCATGGGATGACACATTGAATTGTGCAAAGTACTTGGAGATGAAGGCAAAGTATCCATTAAGTTCAGCCTCTCAATGAGGGAAAGTGAATTTGATAGCATCAGCTGATTTGTTCCATGCAGCATCCCACTTGGAGTCAGTGGTAATTTTCCTTGAGACGGCTTCTGAGACCCCATATTTGATTTCAACACCCCTGAGGGTTTTGGTTTGCTTGTCAACAGTTTGAGAAGAGGTAATGATTGTGTGGACAACATTGAGGTTGATACATTCCCCAGTGATGATTTCAGCCCATCTGCTCTTATGGAACTCAGGTGTGTATTTGTGGTACATGAGGTATTTTCAAACTTCCTTTTGGTCTTGTGACCACTTCTTGAGTATCTCATTGGTATACTCAAGACTAGGTGAGAGTGGTTGATAACATCTGGTTTTAACTGCGACTTCGATGGATGAATAATTGAGCTTGGATTGTTTGTGAGCAGGTTCTCCTGACTCAACTGATCCTGCTCTACTCCTATCCTTTGGTATAGGGGCTTCTTTGTCATCATGTGCTGGTTCATTCACACACATTCTTGGTTCCCTTGTTAAGTTGTCTCCTGAATGGGCATGTTCTGATTCAACTTCATTGAGCATGTAGAGGTAGGGTTTAGCAATGGTTGAGACATGCAGTTCTGGTGTAGCAAATAACTCAGCTGATATGGTTTCAATGAGGGCCACATTTGCCTTGATTTTTGAAGTACATGAGCACCTGTAATCTTCGATAATGGTGATACAGGCCGTTGCCAGGACTTGTTGGGATGTATTCTGTCCATTAGAGTTGGTTTGGGTCATATCCCCTGAGACTGCTGGTTCTGAGGTAGCAGCTGTTCCAGTAGATTGCATTTGTGACATTGAGCCAGCATGTTCAGCAGATGTATTGTTGCCCTCAGCCCACCCATCTAATATAATATACATCTGGCACCCATGTATGTGATAACAAGTACCCTTATGAGAAAGCCTGCTGCACCACATTGGCATATGAAAGAATGTCTGTGAACTGGCCAACCCATGTCCACTTGGCAGATGTCAATTGCAGAAAGTCAATTTTGGCATGCTTCGATAAATTTTGCTTTTGGTGTTCCATTTTATACATGAACATATCAACATGCTGTAATGGCAAGTCAGAGTAAGAACAAAAAGGTGTGGTGGTGTATCATACCTGCTTGTTGCAATCAGCACAGTTAAGCATGATGTAAGTCAAAGACCAGTGGACCTTCATATCAATTAGTAGTTGTGTTGGCAAAGAGACACCTGCTTTTGTGTGAACAGTTCTATATAGCTCTTTCTGTTTTGCCAAGGAACATTCTTTGACACAGATGCTGTGGACCAGACTAATCTCATCATGATTGACCCTCTGAGTTAGATCCAGTGTGGATAAGACAACTTGGCTAGATAGTTGTTAGAATACCTAGCCAATATATGTCTACTAGTCCTGCCTAGCTGCTACACTTGCAAGCAAGAACGTTTGACCTGAGGGATCTACTATCCAGTCAAGTTCAATAGTCAGTACTACACAAAGGGTCAAAAGTCCAAAGGTCAGAGATCAAGTCCAAAGGTATGGGACAAAGTCTGATGCACAGGAAATCGGGTCCACAGGTGCGGAGATGCAGAGATGGTGGGAGAGTAAGGGAAAGGGAGGGAATGCATCAGGACTAGCTTGGAGATGTCAAGGAAGGTCAAGTGAATGAGTGACACTCGTGTCAGGTCAAGGAGAGCAGGTAAACAGGTATATTGCAAGGGTAACTCTAAAGACAGGTATGGGGTGACCAGTATCAGGGATTTCTCCCTCCTACTAAGTGGTGATTGTAATTCTGGTCACCCAACCCTATATAACTAGCTACATGAAAATCCAGAGTCCATAGGCGAAAGCAGTAGCAAAAATGCAGGTCCAATGATATGTAGGTAAAAGGCCATGAGGTACTGTGGCCAGTGGGAATCCATGTAATAACACTGTCTACTCAATCAGTAATGGGAAATAACTGACTATGCACCAGTGGGGTTAAGCAGGACTGGACTGGACATGGTAGGATGAGTGTGCAGGATCTCCAAGTGGGTCTGATGTGTTGGAGATGTGGAGATGGCAGGAAAGCATCAGAGATGGGTAGGAGATGTGCAGACTGGATGGGGATTGCAGAATGGGGTCCTAGCAGGCCAGCCTGAACATGATCATCACGCATACCCATCTATCTGATACACATCTACATTGGTACACCCATTGACATAATATCCAACTACCTCAGCCCATCCATCTATAGAATATTCATGTCCATTGGCCCACTCATCTCCTGTACATATCCCCCACATGGGCCTACCTGCCTCCATTGGGAATAATATCCCTCCTGGCCCATCCATCATAGTCAGGGTTATTTTTACCTTTGGCCCATATCATACAAGTTATTATGCATGTCCATTCACTCATATAATATGGAGATAGCTCACTGCAATATGTGTGCAAGAACACCCAACCCATGACTGGTAACTTAGTGCAGTCCTTCTCTCATGCTATTTCTCTTGTGTCCAGCCACTCTATCAAGTGTGGTTGATTTTGTGCATGTTATATCTACCACACTGGTATCCAGCATTTGCTGCACTCACACATATCCTCTAGTATTCATCTCACGCTTGCGATACTAACACTGGTCGATTTCTGCCTGTGCTCATGGTTGATTCTTTGACATAGGAATTCAAAGGTATACATACAGCCTGCGCTCTAGTTTCTTAGGCTGCTATATATTTTAACTCCTTCACTCACTTGCTTCCCTTGCATATATTTGAAGGAAGTGCTTCAATAGCAGTCCTCTTGGGCCAATCTACTAACTTGCGCCTCTTAGGATAAGTAGTGCTAGTTGCTAACAGCCTAGTACCTATTTCTTCACAACAGCTCCTAGTTCTGCCTCAGAGTCATCCTTGGAGTCACTCCGAACTTCCAGAATGAGTCTCTTGAGGCCACCAATCTTGCTTTTTGAAGTTGCAGGCTATGACAATGCAAGTGACTGATTGAGCTCATTGTAGCATTGTTCAAAGACATTCTCGGCACAAGCAAGCACATCATTGAGCAAATTTGATGGCCAGTGCTTTTTGAAGTATGTGAGTTTGGATGTTGGATCAAGTACTAGTATGGTAGAGTTTGTTAGAGTTGGGATGATAAGAATAGAAAATGACAAACACATGGCAATAACATAGGCAGCAGTGTCTGTAGTTTTCTCATAATATTTGTCTAGCTTCTCTGCTGCTGCCTTGAGTGGACTGGCAAACCAAATATATCCACACTAAATCTGATACTGACTAGTGTGTTTTTAAGGGGCTATAGCTATTAGGCACAACATCCACACCAATTATACCAACTTCAACACTGCCATCAAGGAGAAGCCCATGGTTGATCTCAGAGGTTGGCCCAAGGACATCCCATTTCAATCACCCACCATCCTCAGTGGCCTCAATACTCTATTAAAACTCCACAATGTGTTGAAGAATGGTTCCTGCCATTGGTTCTGCATGACAACACATCAGTGAGAGGAGTACAACATGCAACTCACTGCTTGCTGCATGCCACAAGAAAGGAGAAGTCATTGGCAAACTGCAAAAGAAGCAATCTGACACTGGGGTAGCCTGCAAATGCAAGGAAAAGCAAGCCACCCAACTGAGGAGGTGTGCATGAGCATCAGGGACATCATCACAGACTCCAAAGAGCTCTGAGTTCATTGCCACATCTGAGGAGGAGATCAGTGACAAAGACATGTAGATTACATTGTGACCTCATTGATTTTACCTAGGAACAATTGCAAGTGAGCTTAAAGGTTTGGGCATTGACAATGGTTATACTTAGATCAGGTACATGGGAACATCAGGTGATATCTTTGGCATGAATGGCATGAATGACGCAAATGGGGCAAAAAGTCAAAGTCCAAGATGCCCTCATGCCTGATGGAATACAAGTCATGGTCCCAAATGAGGCTTAGGTGCTTCAGCTGCACAGCCTATAATACAAGCTGTGAAGTAGTCACAAAAATGTGACTTGTGAACATGCTAGTTCAAACTTCCAGTGTACTCTGAATTGACCTAAACCTTGGTGTCAAGGCATCAAGGCCTGCTAAGAAACATATTGTCATAAGCAATGATTTTGGACTTTGTCAGATGAAAGCTGAGACAGTGCTGTGCCCAGTAGTTGATCATGTCCTCACCTTCACCCATTGTTGGGAGGCAAGAGGCATCAACAATAAAGCCCTGCCAGAAATTCAAGGGACACACTGATTTTATCAATACCATCATATATCTGCCAGACAGACAGCAGATGATGACTTGTTCAAGGGACAGCTCACTGTGGGTATGGAACATGAAGAGTGGGAAACAGATAGGAGAAGACTATCAGGATGGAGATATTAATATTGAAATGAGAACCATAGTGTTGTCCCTGGATGGAAAGAAAGTGGTTAGTGGAAGTTTGAATGGTGGAATGAAGTTATGGGACATGGACACAGGCAAAGTCATTGAAGAATGGACAGGACACACATCAACAGTGTGGTCTGTGTGCTGGAGTTGAGATGGTCAGTGAGTGGTGAGCAGATCCTTTGATGGGACAGCAAGGGAGTGGGATGTGAAGAAGGGAGATACTATCCTTGGTCCAATCAAGACAGGGCACACAAAAGTGTACACAGTCGTCTACTCGCCAGACATGACCATGTTTGCAACTGCTGGATACTACCAGTGGGACCTGGATGATGAATATGAAGACTCAGTCAAAATCTGGGATGTGAAGACAGGTGAGCTTGTTGCCACTCTCAATGGACACACACAAATGGTGAATTGCCTGGTGTTAAGAACCATGCTCAAAGGAGAGAGAGACTGACTCAGAGGGGCTTGGCCTCAGCTCATACACTGTGCCCCTTACCTGAGTATGTGCCCTTCATTTCAGAGGAAGTCCAATGATGGTCTGACGAAGTCCAGAGGACTTCTGGAGGCTGGCTACTCTGGTGGAGAGTGCAGGAGGACTTCTGGAGGAGCGTGGGAGAGTTCCAGAGGAATGCAGGAAATGCTCAGGAGAGTTCCCACTGCAAGGTAATACTTCTACAGGAAAACAGGATGGAAGGATAGGAGGTCTGGAGGACAGGAGAACAGGAGGTCCGGAGGTACGGAGGATGGAATGTCCAAAGGTATGGAGGGCAGAATGTCTGAAGGTATGGAGGGCGGAAGGTACAGAGGGCAGAAGGTACAGAGGGCGGAAGGTATGGAGGGCAGAAGGTACAGAGGGTGGAAGGTATGGAGGGCGGAAGGTACAGAGGGCAGAACATCCGAAGGACAGGATGCCTGGAGGTACAAGGGACAGGATGTCCAGAGGTACAGAAGACAGGAGGTCCGGAGGTCCGGAAGGAATAGGGGCTACATCGGATGGAGTCCAATGTAGAAGCAAACGGAGGTAGACTACCCTAAGGTAGAGTCGGAGGGACAGGAAGTGGACCAAAGTCTGGAAAGAGGGTAAGTGCCGGAAAGGCAAGACTCTAGCCTAGGGAAGCAATCCCTAGACTTGGGACAGAGACATGGGGGACAAATCCGAAGGTCTGGAATTCCGGCCTAGGGAATCCATCCCTAGGCCTTATGGAAAAGGACAAACTCAGATGGACTGAAGTCTGGAAGAAGATTGGGCAAGTCTAAGGTGATGAACAGGATCTAAGATGAGAGAGCAGGAATTAAGATGATATTCAGACTGAGGATTCTACTGTAGTTGTACAGGGGTTATATACTAAAGGCTATCTGAGAGGATCAGTAAGCAAAGGAGTAAGGCTATGTATGAGCATGTGGAAACACATTGGTAAGTAAGACAGAACATAAGTAAATGAACTTGGAGATGAAACTAGTATAAGGATCAATCAGCAAGACAGAAACAGAGATAACCAAGAACTGGAAAGGCAGAGATGCCTAAATGGGGATAGGTGCAGGATCTCGGACAGAGGGTGGGAATAGGTCTGGAGATCTGGGGATCCAGAAGGTAGGACGGAAACAGGACTGAGATATGTGAGGTGGTGGATGTAGTCCAGAATCCAAGAGGAGGTAAAGTCCGGATGTCTTGCTGGACGGAATGTTCATAGGGTGGACAGGATAGGAGATCCAGGAATGAGTTGGATATGGGGTCCGGAAATAGGTCCGGAAAGCGTGGGAATATGATGGGATCTATGTCTGGCATACAGGATATGA